TCCGATTTCGAAAAGTTTGCTTCTCTAACAATACATTCCAGAATTCCTTCCCCATCTCCGCAATTACCGCCTCGTTCTACGATTGAATCGAGAAATTTGGGATATTTTCCTGTATCTCTTCGATTCTTGTTGTTACCTCGTCGATCCCTGCTCCGTAAGGTCGGATTTCTCGAGAAAATCTCCTTTTTCTAATCGAGAGGGCTACCGAGGGATCGGGGTTCTGAATCCGAAGGAACCTGAAAATTCCGCCTGAAAATGAGTTTTCAGGATCTGGAGGCCCAAAGGCCGCTGAATTCGCGGCGGAATTTGATCAATGGGAAGCAGGACGCGACCCAGGCGGTGGCTTCCGGTATTTTTCAGATCAACACGGCGGTTTCCACTTTTCAGCGTCTCGTCAATACCCTCGGCACGCCGAAGGATACGCCCGAGCTCCGGGAGAAGCTGTGAGTTTCATCGTGTTTCCCCCTCTTGTTGCATGTATCGATGTTTTAGGGTTCTCTGGAATTTCTGCATTTGCCTGAGAGATGGATGACCCGGTTGCTTGATTTTCTTTTTGTGGGGGTCAAATTTGTCACTTTGCTCTATTGTTTCGGTTTCTCTGGGATTCTGCATGATCTGGTTGCTAAAATTAAATCGTTTTTGACAAATTTGTAAGCCCCTGTCGGGGGTTCTTCCTAATTTGTGTATTGCACACTGCTTGACGGGATTGTAGTTTATATGTGAAATCTTTGATCTTTCATGTGATCTATATACTCCATTCCAAGGATCATATAGATTCCTTCAAGTTATGGCGTTGTAGCTTTTTATCAACTATCAAATAGTCTCCTTTTGTTTCTTTTGTGAATCAATATTATTGCACATTATTTACCAAAAAAAAAATATTATTGCACATCCTGAAAGAGCTAACGCAAAACCGAAATGAGTGGAAACGAAGAATCCATGCGGCCGACCCCAAATAAACTTTATTTGGGACTAAGACGATGTTGATGGCGTTGATGTATTATTGCACATTGTCTATCTTTCGTGTTCTTGTTGGGTATTTTTCTTCAATGTTTATGTATCTTGTTAGGCACAAAACGAGACTGCATATTGGGCAGCTGGTCAAGGACACTTCAGCAAAACTTAAAGAAGCCAGTGAAATCGATCATCACCGAAATGTCACTGTAAGTTCTGATGGATGTATATGTATATATATATTCTATATATATAACCCATTTGCCCTTTCACCTACCAGTCGGGCATTTGTTTTTTAGTAGCTTTGCTCGGTTAACAATGTGCTTTAGCATCCTCGGTTTAGGAGGTTGTTTGTTAATTTCGTTTTCCTGAACGCACAATGATGCAGCAAAGTAAGAAGGTCACGGATGCTAAACTTGCAAAGGATTTTCAAGCGGTGCTGAAAGAGTTTCAGAAGGCTCAGCGGCTTGCAGCTGAAAGGGAAACTACTTATACTCCTTTCGTTCCCCAAGGGGCCATTTCTTCAAGGTATGGCTTTCATCATACTTTAGCTATAGTTGGTCACTTTTGTGTCATGTATTATCTCGGTTTTGTGACAAGATTCTGACTTGTTGGGGAATAGTTTTCTCCCTTTCTTTTTGGGAAATCAAGCTGATAGGTAAGATATGTTATTGGTTTTAATCTATCGACCTCAAGTGTGTGGACTAGATTGGCAGCCATTGCTATTTTCCCTACCCTATACCGGTCTGAATCAATCACTACTGACGTTATTTTTTATTTTGTTATATTGGGTGCACCCCTCTGTAATCAGCGAGGCCGACATAAGCTCTGATGGATCACATGAGCAACGTGCCGGTGTGGAATCCAAAAGGTAAGTTCAAGACTCGTGTCTCTGCAAATAACTTTATGTTTTCGTTGCCACATTCCTCTCTTCTCATCTGAACAAAGCTTTCCAGCAATTCATACTTTTTGCGTCTATACCTTTTCACCTCTTATTATTTTTTGATTGTAGGCAAGAAGTCTTACTTCTTGACAACGAGATCTCCTTCAACGAGGCGGTGATAGAGGAACGAGAGCAAGGAATAGAAGAAGTTCAGCAGCAAATTGGGGAGGTTAACGAAATCTTTAAAGATCTTGCTGTGCTGGTTCATGACCAAGGAACAATGATCGGTAACTTCTTCCATATCTTCTGAAACCCGAGAGAGAAAACCTAGAAACCCTGTTCCGATACCGAAAAATACATTCATATCTAACTACGTCTACTAATTTTTATGGCAGATGACATCGGTACCCACATCGATAATGCACGTTCAGCAACAGGTCAGGGGAAGACCCATCTCGTTAAAGCATCCAAGACGCAACGTTCAAACTCGTCTCTGGTAATGAAAAGAATAACTTTTTTGAGAACATAACGAAAAAAAAAAAAGGAATGGGTTCTTGATTCTAACGATCCTTAATGTATTGACTGGCACTGTATGCAGACATGCTTGCTCATGGTGATATTCGGCATCATTCTCCTCATCGTTATCATAGTAGTCGCAGCCTGACACGGAATCCTCTGCTCCAAAACGAAGCTCCGAGAGTTCAACGGTGAAACTCAGTTCCAATGAGAAATCCCCCCTCTGTGTTTGTTTATGTTTCTGTCTCTTATGTGTATTGTCTCCTTTTACCTACGTGAAAGCGAAATAGCCCAAAAAAAAAAGCAAGGAAAAGCTGATAAAGCTTTCCCCCACGCGCTCCTTTGTTCCAAAGAAAGAGACTTAACGAGTTTATATATTCTTTTTGGAGCGTGATAACGACGCTCCGCAATTACCGCCTCGTTCTACGATTGAATCGAGAAATTTGGGATATTTTCCTGTATCTCTTCGATTCTTGTTGTTACCTCGTCGATCCCTGCTCCGTCAG